CCTGATCCCAAAGCAAATATGATATTATACTGCCGCCTGGTGGCCCTTTATCATTTTTTTTTCTTACCCCAGTCTCAAAACACTACTTTAACATTTAATTTTACTCTTCTTCTCAACTAATTGCTCCTGTCTGTCATCCCTTGAATTTATATAGCCCCCTTGTCATTGTAAAATGTCCCAAGATGCTTGGGAAGATATTGAGTGGTTGCCAGTTCCACTACAGGTTACCTATGATGGCTTACCTCGGTATGTACGCAACAGATGTTGCTGCAGAGTGAGCAAGACAGGAGAATGTGAATAATTTCCCTTCTAATTTAAGATCTTTGGGATTCAATGTCATCATTACCCCAGGTAAGAGCAACTAATTTCAGCATTTGTATACTCAAGGACTTGACCTCTTACCACAATTTTCATCACCTGAAGGAAAATAAGACTGGACTTGAGGCATCAACTTGGTCTCTCTCTATCCACAGATGTTGCCAGACTTGCTGAGATTCTCCAGCACTTTCTGTTTGTATTTCAGATTTCCAGCAACCGTAGTATTTTGCTATTATCTCCCATTCTCTCTCTCAAGTCCAGGAACACAGAGTACAACGTTCCATATAACCCAATTAGTACTTTTTTAGTTAAGCAAGTCAACACAGAACAGCTTATATTGATATAACTCACTCAGAGATAGTAGGAACTTCCGATGCTGAAGTCTGAGATAATAAGGTGTAGAGCTGGATGAACACAGCAGGCCAAGCAGCATCAGAGGAGCAGGAAAGCTGACATTTCGGGTCTGGATCCTTCTTCAGAAATGGGGGAGGGGAAGAGGGCTCTGAAATAAATAGAGAGAGGGGGAGGCAATGATAGAAGGTGGATAGTGGAACAGATAGGTGGAGAGAAGACGGACAGGTCAAGGAGGCAGGGATGGAGCCAGTAAAGGTGAGTGTAGGTAGGGAGTTGGGATGGGGGTTAGTCAGTGAGGAGGGAGGGGCAGGTAGGTGAGAGGGAAGACGGACAGGTCAAGTAGGCAGGGATGAGGCTAGTAGGTAGGAAGTGGGGGTGGGGGCTGGTCAGTGAGGTGGGAGGAGCCGATAGGTGGGAGAAAAGACGGACAGGTCAAGGAAGCAGGGAAGAGCTGGGCTGGTTTTGGGATGAGATCGGGGGTAGGGAGATTTTGATGCTTGTGAAGTCCACATTGAGACCATTGGGCTGCAGGGTTTCCAAGAGGAATATGAGGTGCTGATCCTCCAGTTTTCGGGTGGCATCATTGTGGCAATGGAGGAGGCCCAGGATGGACATGTTGTCCAGGGAGTGGGAGGGGGAGTTGAAGTGGTTCGCGACTGGAAGGTGTTGTTGTTTGTCGTGAACCGAGCGTAGGTGTTCCACAAACCGGTCTCCAAGCCTCTGTTTGGTTTCCCCGATGTAGAGGAGGCCACATCGGGAACAGCAGATACAATATACCACATTAGCGGATGTGCAGGTGAACATCTGTTTAATGTGGAAGGTTTTCTTGGGGCCTGGGATGGGGGTGAGGGGTAGGTGTGGGGGCAGGTGTAGCACTTCCTGCGGTTGCAGGGAAAAGTGCCAGGTGTGGTGGGGCTGGTGGGGAGTGTGGAGCGGACGAGGGAGTTGTGGAGAGAGCGGTCCCTCCAGAAGGCAGATAAGGGTGGGGAGGGAAATATATCCTTGGTAGTGGAATTGGATTGCAGGTGGCGGAAGTGGTGGAGAATGATGAATCTGGAGGTTGATGGGGTGGTACCTGAGGACAAGGGGAATTCTGTCTTTGTTGTTTTTGCAGGGAGGGTGTGTGAGGGCTGAGGTGTGGGAAATGCAAGAGTATCCGCTGTTCACGATGTGGCCTCCTCTATATCAGGGAAACCAAGCAGAGGCTCGGAGACCGCTTTGTGGAACACCTACGCTCAGTTCACGACAAACGACTGCACCTCCCAGTCACGAACCACTTCAACTCCCCCTCCCACTCCTTAAATGACATGTCCATTCTGGGCCTCCTCCAGCACCACAACGATGCCACCCGAAGGCTGGAGGAACAGCATCTCATATTTCGCTTGGGAACCCTGCAACTCAAGGGTATCAATGTGAACTTCACAAGCTTCAAAATCTCCCCTCCCCCGACCTCATCCCAAAACCAGCCCAGCTTGTCCCCGCTTCCTTGACCTGTCCGTCTTTTCTCCCACGTATCCGCTCCTCTCACCTCACTGACCAACCCCCACCCCCACTTCTTACCTACTACCCTCATCCCCGCCTCCTTGACCTGTCCGTCTTCCCTCCCACCTACCTGCCCCTCCCTCCTCACTGACTAACCCCCATCCCAACTCCCTACCTACACTCACCTTTACTGGCTCCATCCCCGCCTCCTTGACCTGTCCATCTTCTCTCCACCTATCTGTTCCACTATCCACCTTCTATCATTGCCTCCCCCTCTCTATTTATTTCGGAGCCCCCTTCCCCTCCCCCGTTTCTGAAGAAGGGTCCAGACCCAAAATGTCAGCTTTCCCACTCTTCTGATGCTGCCTGGCCTGGTGTGTTCATCCAGCTCTCCACCTTATATTGATACAACAACTTTCACAACATCCACACATCCCAAAGTGCTTTACAGTCAGGGACATTGGAAGTCGTAATGTGGGGAATAGGGCAGTGAAATTGTGCACAGCAAGCTCCCACAAATCAAGACCAGAAAATTGATTTTTTTTCTCACTGGTAGTTAGGTGGTAAGTATTAGCCAGGACTCCAGGGAGAACTCCAGGGAGAATCAATTAACTGAAGGGGCTGCTATTCCAATTCTGACTGAGTTTTAGCTGCATATTCCACACTGTTGGTTACCTGGTGTGGACAGAGAACAGGTGATGTCTTCTGGACTCGCTGCAGGACACTGTTCAGACTGAAATTTCTGGGTCCAGGATGAAGGGCAGAGCACCTCAGCTATGACTGTGTTGAGACAAAGCTCCCTTTGGTCGCTCCTGCCTGGATTATTCAGGTGATCATGAAGGAAGAGTAGACAGAATCCATCAGTATCAAGAACAGATGTCACTGGAAAAGCTCAGCAGGTCTGGCAGCATCTGTGAAGGCAGAAATCAGAGTTAATACTTAGGGTCTGATGACCCTTCCTCAGAACTGATGGTAGATGGGAAAACGTCAGTTTATATGCAGAAAATAGGGAGGGGGATGGGATGGGGAGTAAACAACAGGATAGAGCCCAAAGCAAGAGAAGAGCAGTTGGATAGACAAAGGAGTTGACCCGAAACGTTAACTCTGATTTTTTCTTCACAGATGCTGCCAAACCTACTGAGCTTTTCAGCAACTTCTGTTTTTGTTCCTGATTTACAGCATCTGCAGTTCTTTTGGTTTTTATTTAGTATTCATCAGTCTGTTTGGTTATCACTGCCTCATTGAAATGCATTGTAGACCCTTTTATTATTCATTGACCTGATGCATTGCTGGCAGGGCCAGGATTTATTGCCCATCGCTAATTGCGCTGGAGAAGGTGGTGGAGCTGCCTTCTTGAACCACTGTGGTAGATGTGGGTGTAACTTCATTTTATTTTGTCGCTTATCGAGTGTGTGGTTTAATTGGATTTCTCTGCTTGTTATTGTATTAATAGGAAGGGGGGACAATTAGCTAGCTCAGCCAGCTGATTTGCAATGCAAAGGGATGCTAACAGTGTGTGTTCAATTCGTACACCAGCTGAAGTTACCATGAAAGACTCTTCTTTCCAACCTTTCCCCTTATCTAAAGTGTGGTGACCATCAGGTTAAACCACCTCCAGTCAACTCTCTATAATGAGAGAGCAGTATGGTAACTTTAACATTGCATCAGTAGTATCTTAATTGAAGGGACAACTAGGGAGCACAACGCAAAACTGAATCTTCAATACATCATGTCACCAATTCAGCGCAGCATTGTAGGGGTGAAAGTAGCAAGGACACAGACCTTTTAAGTCAACCTGCTCAGAGACTTTATTCCACTCTTCTGGACTCAGGGACACTACCACTGAGGATCAGCTAGCTCAGTTGGCTGGACCGCTGGTTTAAAACTTAGATTAACGCCAAGAGCATGGGTTCAATTCCCATTCCAGCTGAGGTTACCACAAAAGAAAACTCTCCTTCTCAACCTCTCCCCTCACATGGGGTGGCACAGTGATTGGCACAGCACCAGGGAAATGGGTTTGATTCCAGCCTTGGGTGACTGTCTGTGTGGAGTTTGCACATTATAGAATCCCAATAGTGTGGAAACAGGCCATTTGGCCCAACAAATCCACATCAACCCTCTGAACAGCATCCCACCCAGACCCTATCTCCGCATTTTCCCGTGGCTAATGCACCTAACCTACACATCCCTGGACACTATGGGCAATTTAGCGTGGCCAATCCACCTAGGCTGCACATTCCTTGGACTGTGGGAGGAAACCGGGGCACCCTGAGGAAACCCATGCAGACATGGGGAGAATGTGCAAACTCCACACAGACAGTCACCTGAGGGGCAGCAGTGCTAACCACTGAGCCACCGTGCCACCCATTCTCCTTGTGTCTATGTGGGTTTCCTCCGGGTGCTCCAGTTTCCTCCCACAGTCCAAAGATGTGCAGGTTAGTTGGATTAGCCATGCTAAATTGTCCCCTAGTGTCCAGGGGGGTGTGTATGGGTGGGATGCTCTTCAGAGGGTCAGTGTGGACTCGATGGGCCAAAGGGCCTGTTTCCACACTGGCGGTATTCAATGAGGCATAATGACTTTACCTTTCTCAAGCACTGCACCACAGAGCTGAATGGTCGGTGTATATTGTAAACACAGAAAGTGATGCTACAAATAGTTAGATTTTCCTTTGTTTTATTGATAATTTGGAGATTCTGTCCCCTTTGTTAAATTGCTCTTCACTGCTGACGGAGAGAGCCATCCTGATTGGCAACTGAAAACGGGCAAACTTTCTATTTGGTTACCGTGACAAGGTCTTACACCTGTTTTTGTTTAAAGGTTACTCCACTAACCCAATCATTGTAAAAGTGGACGGCGATCAGTTGGAATCAATACCAATCCCCCTTTTTCTCTTTATATAGAGAGAACTTCGCAGAGCGTGAGTTGAGTAGGATTCTGGACTAGTTACAGCTGTGCTAGTTTCTTAGAAGTTCATTCCAGACTCATAAGTCAAGCCGTTCCTGCGTCCACCACCAACTGAAACATTTCATCTCAGAAGGAACAAGAGGTGCCGGCCGGGGAATAATTTGGAAAGTCTGGAGTATGGCTGTCGTGCACCGGACTTACGGAGCTCATCGCTTCAAACACCGAAAGACATTTAGTAAGTGTTTTTTTTTTTTTTTTTTTTTTTTAAAAAATCTCTCTAGGAAATGGCTCAAAAGCGTAATTATCCTCCAATTCTCGCTCTCTTAAACAGCTGCAAGGAAAGAGGAGTCTGCATTCATTCGCTCCAAATACCCCCAGAAAATACCGGTAGGAGTTTCTCTCTCCCTCTCTGCCCTGTTAGTTTCAGGGACTCTCTCGCTCGCTCCCTGGTGGTAACATTCGCGTTCCCTGCAGGTTATTGTGGAACGATATCCTGGCGAGAAGCATCTGAAATCGTTGGATAGAACCAAATTCCTCGTTCCTCAAGATGTAATAGTGAGCCACTTCATTACTATCATCAGGTATCGTTGAACGTGCTATTCACGCCGATCAGTCTTACTTAATTTTGTTTAAAGAGCTTTGTGGTTCTTTTTTTTTGAGCTGATGACCAGTAATTTTTTTCCTACATGCCCGCAAAAGGACCCAGTTAAGTGGTCACTTAACTTAGAGGATATAGTGTTCTAAACACTCGAGGGACAGCAATGGGCCACTCCACTTGCTGTGCATCCTTGATCACTATTATCCCCACTAAGCATTACTTGTGTGCTTGGGTCAGTGTGGCAATTGGCTTTGGTGGGCTCACTCCAATTTAAGGAAACACTAAGTTGTACTAATGACCCCTTCTCCACGTGAGAATTTTAAGGATGAACACCACACTTGGTACATCCTATCATGAAAGACTTGAACAAGTCAAGAGAAAGCTGAAGTGGGGGTGATCTGAGGCCTTCAGATTTATGAAAGAGTTGAGCTGGATCTTTCTGCTGACTGTGTTTCTTTTGATTATTATGTCTTGAGTGTAAATAGCTTAAATTCTCACAGAACCCCCCCCAGACACTGACTTCCTGCTGTGCTTAGCCTGTAGTGCTTGCTATGTGGTGCTTTTTTGAGTCAGTCTGAGTCATGCAGCATGGAACCAGACCCTTCAGCCAACTTATCCATAATGACCAGCTTTCCTAAACTCAATTAGTTCCACTTGCCCTCATTTGGTCCATAATCCCTCTTAAACACTTCCTATCCATGTACCTGCCTGAAGCCTTTTAACTGTACTCTGCTCTACCACTTCCTCTGGCAGCTTGTTCCATATACACACCACTCTCTGAAACTTGCCCCTTGGGTCCCTCTTTTGTCTTTTCCCCTCCTTAAATCTATGCCCTCTAGTTTGGGAAAGACCTTGGCTATTCATCTATCCATGCACTTCATTATCTCTTAAACCTCCTAAGGTCATCCTCCTCAGGACGGGGGTGAAAAAGCCCTGGTTTCTCCCTGAAATTCAAACCTTCCAGTCTCATTAACATCTGTCTTTTGCACCCTTTCCAGTTTAATAACACTCCTATAATTTTGGTGACCAGAATTGAATGCAGTACTCAATATGGCCTTAGTTTTTTTTTTGAAGGCTGTAACACTGTCCCCAACTCCTGCTCTGGCTGAAGGCAAGTGTGCCAAATGCCTTTACCAACCCATCTACTCTTGATACCACTTTCAAATAACTGTGACTACACTCCCCAGGGCCCTACGATTGACCAAGTCCTGCCCTAGTTTGTCTTGGCAAAATGCAACATTTTGCACTTGTCTCCATCTGCCATTACTTGGACCAATGGTCCAGTTGATGAAATACTGACTTTTGGTGTCCTCTGCAAACTTACTAACCATACCTCCTATAATTCTCATCCAAATTTTAGTCTATAAAATAAACAGTGGACTCAGCACTGATCCTTGCAGCACACTGCTGGTCACAGGCCTTGAGTCTGAACAAAACCAACTTCTGTATCCAATTGGCCAGCTCTTCTGGATCCCAGATGCTCTAACCCTGCTAACCAGTCTACCATGTGGCATCTTTGTCAAAGGCCTTGAAGTCCAAGTAGACAACATTTACTGCTCTGCTTTCACCTATCTTGGTCACCTCTCCAAAAAAAAATCAATCAGGTTACTGAGACACTATTTGTCACATACAAAGCCATGCTGACTATCCCTAATCAGGCCTTGCCTTTCCAAAGGCATGTGGATCCTGTCTCATAATCCCCTTCAATGTACCCACCTCGATCAGGGTCACTGGTCTACAGTTCCCTGGCTCTTCCTTGCAGTCTTTAAATAATAGCACAACATTAGCCACCCTCCAGTCTTCTGGCACCCCCCTCATGGCTATTGATGATTCAAATATCTGTTTAGGGGCTCTGAAATTTCTGCCCTAGCTTCCCAGAATGTCCTGGGATACTCCTGAGCAGGTCCTAGGGATTTACTACCTCTTATGCATTTTAAAACCTTCTGCACTACCTCTACTGTAATGTGGATTCTCTTCAAGGCATCACTATTTCCCCAAGTTTCCTATCTTGAATATTTTTCTCTACAGTAAGTACTGACACAAAATACTTATGATCTTTCACTATCTCTTTTTTGGATTCTCCTGAACCTTATTTGCCAAAGTGTTTTTTGTCTTCCTGAGTTCCCTCTGAAATGTACTTGTCCACCCCTATACTCCTTGGGATTCACTTCTTCCTAGCTGCCTATTCCTGACATGCCTCCTTTTCCTGACCAGAGCCTCAATATCTCTAGTCATCGTGTTCCCTACTCTTGCCCTTCACGTTAATAAGAGCATGCTGTCACTGCTTTACAAAGGCTCTCTTTTGAAAGCCTACCACTTCAGATGTCACTTTTGCTACAAACAGCCTCCCCAACCAACTTTTGAAAGTTCCTGTCTAATACCATCAAATTTGACCTTGGCCCAATTTAGAACTTGAGGACCAGATCTATCCCCTTCCACTAGTTTGTTTTTTAAATTTAAAAACAAATAGGAAGGTCCCAAGTACTTCTCCTACTGCCCCCAAACCCAAGGCATCAGTCACTTGCCCTGCTTTACTTCCCAAGAGGGGCATCAAGTTTTTTTGCCCCTTATCTAGTGGGGTTTGAGATTGTGTGGAGGATTCTTAAGAATAAGATTTTGTTGGACTAAACAGCTTATTCTGAGGGCCTATAAAATAGACATCTGACAACATGGAATTTTAAACAAGGTTGTCCTTCCCTAGGAACCGGCTAGCTCTAACACCTAATCAAGCATTTTACCTTGTGGTGAAGAACAAGAGCCTCTCCAATATGTATACAACTATTGCTGAACTGGATGAAGAATACAAGGATTCTGATGGCTTCTTGTACATTTCCTATGCGTCACAGGAAATGTTTGGTGCAAACTGGCCAGGACACTAATGGACTCGTCTGGGAACCTGAATCTCCTGCTGCCTATTTAGTTGTGTATTTGTGCTACACAAAGCAATTCGTGAAGGTGATGAACACTAAGTTTTCCCCTAAATTCAGGGGATAAAAGTCCTGCTCTTAAACTAGATAATGCAACTCTTTGCACTTGATTCACCAAACTGTTTGTTTTCTTTACTATCCATGTACATTTTAGGTGAAATGGCACTCTGAAATTGTTAAACTGTAGGCAGCAGATATTTGAGCAAAAATCCCTTTTTAAAATGATGGCCCACTCATACAAGCTTGCTAGAGGCAACCTGGTAGACATGAGACTTTTTTCTTTCCTTCCCCAACACTGGCCAGACTGGTACAACTATTTCCTGCTTTGCTACACATTCCCTTCTCACTTTAATGGCCTAACAAATGTAGCTTATGTTAACTTAGATTCCAGTGAGGAATGGTGATTTAATCTTGAAGCATTGTATACAGCCACTACTCTGCACTTCAGTCCTGTTTATCTCCAGTAGCTGTTCTGCAGGGAGGGAAAAAGTTGGTGGAGCCTTTCTGCTGTTTCAATGTAGAGCTTTTGTTGTATAGTAACATGCTGCATTTGGATTTGACATGAGCAACATAAACTTACTTTATTCCAGTATTTTAAAACTTTGTACCACCTTGGACATCACTTCCACAGTGCAATCTAATCCATGTTGGAATGACAAATCCTAATTGTATTGGTGCAGTTCAGAACAAATCAAATAGGGAAAGCATATCCACTAATGAATTTTGTAAGCCAATATTTGGTCATAAACTTTTTGTAACTTTTTGTCTTTTTGTTGCTTTGCTTTTTTCCAAAACAGGCTTGTTACAGACATTGTGCCAACCTAGAGTACTCCTAATATCCTGAATATATTTCTGGTAGATAGTGGCATGGTCTATCAAAGATAAACTTATCCTTTGGAATAAGGTATTCTCATGCTTTTAATTCTAATTGGTAAGTAGAGAAAATAACAATGCAGCAGTCAGTGTTGTGATCCTTATCTGGGTCCCCATCAGTATAAAATTACAAACTGAATGAACAATTTCATAGAATCATAACCCTATAATGCAAAGAGAGGCCATGCAGCCTATCAAGTCTGCACTGACCTTCAGAGCATTCCATCCAGCCCTGTACCCTATCCCTGTAATGCCATACTTAGCATGGCTAATCCCTCCTAACAACAAGTCTTTGGACTGATTAAGGAAATCCACAGACATGGGGAGAATGTGCAAACTCCAGTCACCTAGTCCCTTCAAGGCAGCAGGGCTGAGCTACTGTACTACCCTAATTGTTTTATGGGACCTGATGCTGCTCCACTAAAGCATTATGAAATGTCAAACCATTTGGCTTCAAACTCCTGTTTTAAGGAGTTTGTCATCCAGCACCAGTGGATGACTTTCTGATCCCTTTCTTTTAAATTGTGGGATGAGGGTGTCACTGGCTAGGCCAGTGTTAATTGCCCATCCCAAATTAACCAGCAGGTAGTCAAGAATTGACCACATTGCAATGGGTCTGAAGTTGCACATAGTCCAGACCAAGTAAGGATGGTAGTTTCAATCACGAAAGGATATTAGTGAACTAGAGGGTTTTTCCAACAACTGACAATGGGTTAATGGTCATTAGATTCTCAATTCCAGATTCTTATTGAAAATTTTCCATCAGCTGGAGTCCCTAGAACACTTGTTTATCTCTAGTTGGTCTAGTGGTATTATTGCTAGATTATCATTTTCCCCCATAACCAAGTCAAGATGGTGACTTGAAGGATTACTTGTGATGGAAGATGCAATATACAGAAGATATTGCAGTATTCCTCCAATGCTGGGATCTGGTTGGAATTGTTTTTGCCTTATTGCAAGAAGTTTTAGTTCAATGAAAACATGAATTTTTGTCCAAGCTGCCTCTGAACAGTGAAACAAGAAATCTACTTGTGTGAAGAAACTTGCCTTTTAACAGCACTTAAGAACACTAGTTGGATTAATCTGTTTCTTGATGCCCCCAATTCTAGTCTCTTGTGCAACATCCATTCGGTTAGCATCTGATTGACAACTCCTGGAGGACAGTTTTGTTGGCAATAAATCTGCCTTCAGAATAACAAGACAGAACTTCAGCATTCCTGGAATTCAATACATGTCCTCTTTGAATGGAATAAGAAACCCAATTCACTTGCCTCAAGCCATCTGTTTTTGATCTTTTGCCTAAAAGAGGTGGCTTAACTTTATTTGCCTATGCTTTCTGCAGAAAGCATGATTAAATGTTAGTTCTTCTCTCTATAAAGGATCAGGTTTACAACATAGAAACAGGCCCTTCAGCCCAACTTGTCTATGCTACCCAGTTTTCACAATTTTTAATCTCATTCAATTTAGAGTCAGTCACACAGCATGGAAACAGACCTTTTGGTCTAACCAGACCATAATTCCTAGTAAACCAGTCCCAACTGCCTGCTCCTGGCCCATATCCCTCCAAATATTTCCCATCCTTGGACTTATCCAAATGTCTTTTAAACATTAACTGTACCTACATCCACCACTTCCTCTGGAAGTTCAGTCCACACATGAACCACCTTTTTTCAAAAAAAATGCCTCTTGTCTTTGTTAAATCTTGCTCCTCGCTCCTTTAAAAATATATCCCCTGGTTCCCCCATCCTATGGAAAATACAACAATTTGCCTGTATTTGGTCCTATCCCTTGATACACATACAATCCATGCACCTGTCCAAATGTTTCTTTAAATGACAAAATTGTACCTTCCTCCTCCTCCTCCACCTCCACCACTACCTCTGGCAGCTTATTCCAGAGACTCCTCATCCTCTCTGGAGGTGAGGAAATTACCTCTCTGGACCCTTTTTTGTATTTCCTTTCCTTTTTCCTCCCCCACCCCTTCATCTTTAAACCTATGCCCTCTAGTTTTAGGTTTCCCCTACCACAAGGGGAAAAATGTTGGCTTTCTACCTTGTAATGCTGCTTGTGATTTTGTAGATGATAAAGGTCACCCCTTAGTCTCCTATGCTCCACATGACAGCTTGTCAATGGCAAAGACAAGATGCACTGTCCTCTTAGACCTCTCAACACAAATTGATACCTTTTAATCATTCAAAGTGGTGTTCAAGCCACCCTTCCATTTCTTTCCCGCCCCCCCCAAGCCAGTTCCACAGACTTGGGAACAATCTTGGGTGGTACTTCAGTGCAGCTCCGAGGTTGGGCTGGGCTGCTGAAGGTGTTGTCCTCTGGATCAGATTAAGTGCAGTCCTTATCCCCATTCTTAGATGAACATAGGATGGTGTGGTGCTATTCAAAGAAAAGCAGGCGAATTCCCCATGTTCTTGACAATAGTTACGGAGTGGTGCTGAAAAGGAGGCACAGTTTGTCAAAGCCTTCATTCTGCGTTCATCAGGACATAATCCTAGAGATGTACAGCACAGAACTAGACCCTTTAGTCCAACTTGTCTATGCTGACCAGATTCTCAATTAATCTAGTCCCATTTGTCAGGATGTATCAAGGGTAAACCTAAACAGCTACCAAATGAAGATATTTGAACTGACTAAATTGTTTCTCATGCAATGTTAAATGCATTACTTCTTTAATAACTGCAGAACAGCCTGAAAACATCAAGCCCTGACTTATGAAAGGGCTTGAGGGTGGATAGTTAATCTTCTCAGGACTTTTTTTTTTTTAAAGCCTGGCCTCATACCTTCAAACAATCACTATCAGATGGCCCAAAAATTTCAATTGAATGGCTAAGTATGAAACTTAAATAGGACACAGTTGAGGGGTAAGAGCACAAATGGCATTTAAGTGGATTTGTAGTAGGGAGAAAGTAGGATATGTTGGAGGTGCAGGGGTGCTTTTGAACCAAAAGCAGCATAAAACTTGAATTTCACTCCAACTAGTGACAATGATACACTTTGATTTGTTTTGCTGTGTTTTTTGAACCATAATAACCTGGACTATACATCCTCACACTTCACTTCCTGCGAAGACTCCATCCCATTCTGTTCCTCCGTCTCCATCGCATATGTTCAGATAAGGCCAACTTCAACAAGGGAGCCTCCAAAATGTCCACCTTCTTCCTCAACCGAGGGCTTCCCCAGCTCCATTGTCGACAGGACCCTCAACCAGGTCTGACCCATCTCCCACACTTCCGCCCTCGCCCCTTCTCTTCCCTCCTGCAATAGCGATAGGGTTCCCCTTATCCTTACCATCCCACCAGCATCCACATCCAAAAGATCATCAGACACCATTTCTGCCACCTCCAGCAAGATGCCACCACCAGACACATTCCCCTCTGCTCCCTTGTCCGCCTTCCGCAGGGACCGTTCCCTCTGGGACACCCTGGTCCACACTTCCTTCACCCCGCCCCCCAACACCTCCCTACAGCACCTTCCCCTGTAACCGAAGGTGCAACACCTGCCCATTTACTGCCTCCCTCCCCAGTATCCAAGGGCCCAAACATATCTTCCAGGTGAAGCAACACTTTACCTGCACTTCCCAGAATCTAGTCTACTGCATTCGCTGCTCACAATGTAGTCTCCTCTACATTGGGGAAATGAAGTGTAGTCTTGGCAACGGCTCTGCAGAACATCTACGATCTACTCTCAAAACTACCCATTGCCTGCCACTTCAATGCACCACCCTGCTCCCTGGCCAACATCTCTGTCTCTGACTTGCTGCAGTGTTCCAGTGAAGCCTGATGCAAGCTGGAGGAACAACACCTCATTTTCCGCTGGGGGACCATACAGCCCTCCGGACTCAATATCGAGTTCAATAATTTTAGGGCCTAAACTCTCCCATGTCCCAGTCCCCCACCCAACACACCATGCTTTGTTACCATGTAGCCTGCCATTACACACCCCCTGTTGTTAGTCACTAACAGTCCCCATTTAAAACTATTCACCCTCCCAGCCTGATCATTAGCAACTCCTTTGTCTGTCCAACTATCTTTCTCTCTCTTTGGGCTCTATCCCATAGTTTACTCCCTACCACACCCACCTCCCTATTTTCTGCATATCAACTGACATTTTCCCAGCCACTATCAGTTCTGAGGAAGGGTCACCGGACCCAAAACGTTAACTCTGTTTTTTCCTTCACAGATGCTGCCAGACCTGCTGAGCTTTTCCAGCAACTTTGTTTTTGTTCCTGATTTACAGCATCCACAGTTCGTTTGGTTTCTATTCATACTAACCAGCTGTTCTTCTAGGATCACTATTTATGATTAAATGACTTTCATGGGTTTTATTCTTCAAAAATGTCAAAATATCCACAACCATTGCAGTCTAGTTTCTCAAATCCTCTAACTCATCCATTTTTAATTTAACATTTGGGTTTAATCTAGCAGGAGGGTTCTTTTAATGTTTAAATTTTTGATTTTTAAAAAAAATGATTATTGCAGGACCTAGTCAAGAATTTTGATCTTGGAGATTAATCTGCACTGTGGGAGGGGTGGCTCAGGGCTGCACTGCTGCCTCACAAAGCCAGGGACCTGGGTTCGATTCCACCCTCGGGTGACCATCTGTGTGGAGTTTGCAGACTCTCCTGGTGTCTGCATGAGTTTCCTTCCAAGTTCCAAAGATGTGCAGGTTAGGGGCACTGGCCATGCTTATATTACCATAGCATCCAGGGATGTGCAGGCTAGGTAGATTACCCTAGCCTTGTATATCCCATGGCTAGAAGTTGGGTCTGGATGGGCTGCTCTTCAGATGGTCAGTGTGGACCTGATGGGCCAAATAGCCTGCTTCCACACTAAGGATTCTGATTACCTGGAAAAAGCTGGGTCTTTAATTTCAATTGACATGAGCTTAAAATTGTTCTGATTAAGATTCCCAAAAATACTTGACATAAGGAAAACCATTGTAGGGGAAAAACTGCATGTTAAAACTTCATGATTTTGCCTAAAAAGTGAGTTTTTTTTTTTTTTTAAAAAAGGAGACGGATTGTTTGACTCCTTCCATTTTGGTTGTCCTGTTCTGTAAACTCCAGCTTAAGACTTCCAAAATTTTAAAATGAGAAATACTTTGCCAGTTATGAGATCAAGAGTATAACAGGAAAAACTGAAATCATAAACAAGTATATTATGTCAAGTAAGACAACATCTTCCGTAGGACAAAAATACCAGTCAAGATCACATATTCAATTTTCAAGTGGAACTTAAGCTGATCACGTGGATGTAAGTTGACCATCTAACTACAAAAACTAATAGTTTAAAGTTTATCCTGGCCAGGAAGAAAACGCTGAACTCACTTTAGAAGTTACCTCCTAAGAGGGAAAGAATTCAATCAACCAACCAGGCCACTCACCTATACTAGATTAAAACACTCTTTGGAAACATGCAGTCAGAATGAAACACTGAACAGGTTACTGAAAAACTGGTTTTATTAAAATTGATGTGCTTCTTGCATTGGCCAAAACATGCCAAAATTCTGTAGAGCACAATTATCTCAACATATAACCTCTTTGCAGAAAGTGATGCAGTGATTTTTTTCCCCCTGCCCTCAACAGTAGCATGGGTGCCAACTACAACATAAAATACAAAAACAATTTATAGCTAATGAAAAATATTCAGTAGTATACACATCCCCATTAATTTGTACTGTAACAGTGTTAACACTCTATTCCAAACAGCACCTGTGATACAAGTAAAACTGACAAGCAGAGCATACTGTCCAATTACATCCATGACAACTGTGCCAATTATTCAGTTCACATGATCCACATAACGAAGGAATACTTGTCATTTAAATATCTTCTCCTTTAAGACAAAATACACATGGGATGTATGTAGCGTACTGCAGAAACTCAAAGTTGACTTACAATACAAATGTAATGGGCTATTAAACCCAAATACTTTACAGCTGGTAATTCTCTTTTGTTAGAATGTGCAGATTAACTCCTAGTGTAAGTCAATCGGGGTATGCACAGTAAAAATGGCAGCAGAATATGGAGTCCTTCAAGAGAATAGTACATTGTACCGTTTGGTCCATTACCTAGAGTGGTAACATGCATTAATCAAAGCTTCATCCAATACAGCATCCTTTTCAATCAAGATCAGTGGGTTTTTGGTTCCAACCCACTGTAATTAATCAAAATAGAATTTAAGGCACAGAAACAATGTAGTCAAATATCAACCTTCTAAAACACCAGCCCAGCATCAGGGAGGGGTAACACCCAGAACAGTCAGGACTTTTTCCACCCCGAAAAACAACTTAAGGTTAATACTGTATTTTTGTATTTAAGCACTAATTTTTTTTTAAATTAAGGGCTTTGTGGAAAAGAAATAAATTGAGGTCAGTGACCAATGGAAAGGTCTGATTTGCCCCTTCAACCACACCCTAATCCTGCATAAAGGCAGGTAGGATGTTCTTGGAAGCAACAATGATACTTTGTTCTGCAGTAATGATGACATGAGAGAATCATACAGTTCAATTATTTGGTATGGGATCAAGGGGCCATGCAGTGGAAAGATTGCTCAATTAACCTTCTTTATCTTAAGCTTACTTTTTTTTGTGTTGAGTTTAAAGGATCTGGCCGAAAAGGTGATAATGTAATGGGGAGTGAAAAGGCATGGGTTACTACTTTTTAAAGTTAGTCATTCAAAAATGTTTAATTTCAACATGTTAAGTTCAAAATAGGAAAGCCACAGTTGTGAGTTATGAGGTGTTTTATGCTGTAGTATCACTTACAGCATCGGACTGCCTTGTTTTCCAGTCAAACCATTGTAAACATTTAAAAAATCCAAATAGATAAGCTATTTTCCATTAATTTAGTTTAAAAATTGTATTCAGTGATCTTTACAGCGACTATCTTCAATTTCTTTATTGAAAACAGATTACATTCTTCAAACATAATTCATTTAAAAGGGCAACAAGCAGACTTTATAGTTATCTTACATTAAGAGTGGCCCAAGTTCGTACGTTAATTGTTTTTGTTGCCAAAGTTCTTGTGTACAGCAAGATAATTTCTAAGGTGCAGAATTCCAGTTTGATCTTGTCTCATTAGATAAGACTATTAGAGTTAGGTTATACTATCTTCACTTGCTCTTGTGGGCACCGATTATTCCTGACAAATAGGTTCCATGGAGACTAGCTGCCTAAGAATGTTGTATACATGAGCTCATGAGGAAAGTTTTAGACATAAACAAAAAAAGGCTTGACAATCAAGCTCAGTGTTCCCATCCATTCTACTAATACCTGTCGTATACTGCTGAGACCTATGTGAATTTAATAATAAAACAAACTGCATTCAATGATAAAAGTATTACCTTGGTTTCAAAGTAATCTTTAAAATTTTGTTCTTTACTTAGGGAAAAGTTAATTGACAGTACCAATCATTTAGTGCAGTTTAACACTATACATTCAGACAATTAACATTATAGTATTAAACTATAACTAAACAGTAACATTATAGTAACTGCTGTTTACCCCTTCAGTCTTAAAATTAGAGCTAATTGTAAATATGAAACAGATTACCCCCAAAAAAAATGCATGGCGGGGTGTGGAAAGTAGAGATCAGTTCAAGAATGAGGTGGACTAACGGGGATTTTTAAGGTGATGAGTGGAAGTACATATCATTGACTGAGGTGTTACTGGTACAGCCAGCATTTATTGCCCATTCCGAACTGCCCAAAGGGTAGGATCTGAACCCTTGACCCCAGACATTAGGCTGCGATTCTGGATTACTAGTCCAGTGACATTACCATGCTACCACCTACTTCATGAATTGATGTAATTAACTAGTGGAAAAGGATCGAGGGACAGAATGATACATCCTAGTTTTCATGTTCCTATCATTGACAGGCTGTATTAAATAAAGGAAGAGATATTTAGTTTTTACTCACAGTAAACAATGGTAATAACCAATGATCAAGACTTACTTAATGGCTTGTTTTTAGACTAAACTGTTCAATGGAATTCTTTGTGATTGATGTCATGGTTTACTTTTTTCAAAAAGAGCTTTCATATCAAAGTTATGTTTAGAAGAGGGAAACAAAATGGGCTATACACATACTCTGATGCTGAGCTTCTCAAAAGGTTTCCCGTTAGCCTTTGTTGGGATTCAGCATGGACCAAGCCCGCTTGGCAAAATATAAAACAAGTTCTTATTTAATACCTAAGATTTTACATAAATATTATTCAAAGTTTCAAACTGCAGTAAAAATACAACTAAACAAATATATAAAGCAGCATTTTCAAGTGAAAAGACCTTTGACAGATGATTTACATAGTGGTACAAATAGCTTCCTTATTTTACTGAAAAATAATAGCACAAGTAAATTGTATGATTCGAGTAGCAAGAGTCAGAATCAGTCTCTGTGCAGTAATTAATGCTTTTAAAAATAAACTAAGATTGTATTTGAACAGAGGTAAAAGACAATACTCCATCAACAATCAGTTATTTAAAAAGCTTAACTAGTTTTAAAATACAGGATAACACTGGCAAGATGAATCAGTTGGATTACATATCAATGTTCCATTCTCTAAATTAAAATTTTGTACTTATTGGACAATTTTAAACAAAAATACAGCTGTTTGAAAAAATTATCCCTTAGGAATCTCAATTGTTACTGGATCCTCTTGCTTTCTTCCAGTTATTAGTGACCACTGGAAAATGTATAAAAAGGGTATAGTTTAAAACTATGATTCCTGCAAAAACAAAGCAGGCACACTCGGCAAGGGTACAAAATCCTCATACTGACATTTTTTTAAAAAAAAGTCTAAGCCACAATACTCCTTATGACCCATTTCAGACAGGAAGAACTCAAACCCCATTGCTATAATGTCACTTCATTTTGGAAACTTCAAATTGCTGGATACACATCATTCACAACAACCTAAATACAGATGCTCTTTTGCCATGTACGATTCAGTACATGGAAATGATCCTCATGCAGGTCAACTTGGAAAAAAAAATTGCTCTTTAGAGTAATCTGGAAGGAACTGGTTTGGTGGGGTGGGGGAAGGAGAAAGAGGGTAGAGAGTCACAGCCTGGAACTGAAGCACAAAGTAACTGAGCCAGCTCAAGACATCCACAGAGTTGTCAAAGGAGCTCAGGAGGTTAAAGAAATGATCAGAAAATCTGCATGTATGCATCTTCTGCTATGATGGAAAATGTCTTTTTAAGCTTACCAAATCAGAACAACTCTGAATGATAACAAAAGGGACACTGCTGAAAAAAAGCTGAAGCTTTACATTTTGTACTCAATCAGGTCAAATGCAACAGTGCCAAATTTCACAGAGAAACAATTTATAGTGTACAAAAATAGGTGTCAATTGTTTGCAAGTTGACATCAAATCAGCACCATTTTCTCCAGCAGAAATTGTTTCTCCCTTTGAAATTTGGCATTCTTGCATTTGTCCTGATGAGAGAGAGATGAAAAGCTTCAACAGCATACCTTTTCTTTCTGGGACACCAGCTCTGTAGTACCAAATCTGGATTAAAAAAATCTAAGCCAAATCCAGACCTTAACTACAGAACTGGCCTTTGTTCAGTACTTTGGCATCTAATAATTTATACTTTAGTTCAGCCCCTGGTTGTGCAATATCCAGAGTTGACCATCTACTGGAAAAAGAATGGAACTATCTTCAAGATATGCTAATGAAGCAATTGTCTTTGAATAACCATGTCACATCACAATGAAAACTATAAAACTCTGGGGAATTACTCCTCAAAGGATTTTGGAATAACATTCCATTGTGCCCTGAAGCATCTTGTTCAAGAAATGTCTTAATAAGGCAACTAGGTATTGGGAAATATCTGAAGAACATGGGGTTATAAATCAGCCAGCACTATACAGCACAAAACGCATCAGTGTTCAAAATGATCAGGAGTTTTGTAAAGATAACGCCTTCAGCAAATGAATTATATTTTGCAAGTAAATGCACTTTTCAAGGAGGTTTGTCACAAGTTGAAAACTAGCAGCAGAATATTTTACATATGCTAATGTGCTTTGTTTTCAAAGTTAAGTCTGCTTAGTGGACCACCGCAGTATTGACAGAATAGAAAGTTAACAGGAAGGCAGATAAGTGTAAATCAAAGGTGATGTGATCACCCTGCATGAGCTTTTCACATAAGCCTTCTCCCCCAGCCCTCCCTCAAATTAAGAATGCACTGTAAAAACAATATCAACTCATTCCAGTGTTTGTAGCTTTTACTGTGGTTTTGAACAGTAAAATTAATTATAAAAATCATTGGAGTTGTGACCTTTAATGTATATATGCTACAATTTTCTGAATTTAACTTCTAAAAAATGAGCCCTTAATCCCACAGTCTGTCAATTTATATCAAAGTCCTCTTAAATCTCCTCAGAAACAGGCATAGTTCCCTACAAATTGTTCCAAATTAAGTATTTAGATCTAAGTAGCAATGTCTCAGCATATTTGTTACTTTTGAATATGGCAAAGTTTGTTCCAATTAATGCTCAAAATTACTATCTAATGTATTACTGCAACAAAACTTTACAGTGTCCCTTTGTCAATTTACAGAGTGCAATTTACAGCCATCCTTTCTTGAAGGTGTCCATACCTTCAGGGGGATACAGTTCTGTAGGCATCTGATTCACTCTCAATTACTTTGACGGATGGTCACCGGACCTGAAACGTTAACTCTGATTTCTTTTCACAGATGCTGCCAGACCTGCTGAGCTTTTCCAGCAACTTCTGTTTTATTTTTCACTCTATTACTTTGTCCAATATGCCACAATTTTGGCCTGAATGAAGTGTAAGTGCTGGCAGGTCATCTGACTGCAAGGACACAACATTCTCGTCCAGTCCCATCCTTGCAACATTAGCACTTGGTGATGTATGACAAGTGCAAAGCCAGGGATGTCACTGTCTCTTGTTGCACCCCTAACTGCCAATGCTGAAAGCAGTTATGTCAGTAGAGACCAGGAAAACAACCTGAGACATGGCTAGGCTCTGTGGCTCAGCAGAAGGACCTTTAACCACAAAGCACATTTAAAGGGAGGAGTGGGTGGACGTTGGGGGAGCGCTGAGCCGATTTATTTATTTTTGAAAACATGATAATTGACAATCTGTGCAATACGTCAGTTTCATCAGCCTCTGGTCTTCATGGACATTTTGTTAATCAAATGTGATGAAAACTGCAGCATTTAAATTGATTTTGCATAGTGACGATCACATAAATCGACATTTGAGAAAGTAACTATATGAAGGGACAGTCAAAGGGGGACACTCATTCGATCAGAGAAATAAAGAGTTAAGATTAACAGCTAGATTATTCATAAACAGTCAATTACGTGTATAAAAGATCTTGGACCACAGTAGAGGTTCAATGCAAAAAAGATTAATGACTCAAGCAAATGACACAAAATACCTGATTAGACTTACAATTTAAATATGCAATGGACACGTAATGACCTCAGGTACATTTTTGATGTGTTCAGAACATTCAAAGTGCAAGATACCAAGGGCTACATGCAAAACTGATCCTCCAGTTCCACATGCATTAGATTGATCTCGTGCTTGCCAGCAACATGCACTTGCTTTACCAAATATGAGAGCCAGAACTAGGTGCAGGATAAACAGTCCTTCTGTACCAGTGACCCAAGATCAAATCCTGCTTGGGTCCAGGTATTGAGGGTCAGGTATTTATGACAAAGTGATGAGATGATACTTTTCATCTGTTCCAATCAGATGCAACCCCATGGATCTACAGTAAGAAAAAAAGTGTCACGCAAAACCTGAAACAAATTACATTCTGTTCACATTTCTTTTTCCAAGTAAGGTTCATTGCATTCATAAATCTTTGCTCCCAAATCATAAAAGGGTTATGTTTGCATGGTCTTGTATCCAAGGCAGTGAGTGCTAAGACAGAAACTCTCTCTCCAGTTCAAAGTCACTTGGTCTGCTAGGCTTGGATTCACTTCTGCAGAGGGGTACTGTGCCATCCTGGCTCTGGCCTTCCATGTCCATGTCCAGTAGAGAGCAGGCACCAAAGGGCAAGCTGGGTCGGCGCTCGGTAGTAAGAGCTACGTCTGAACTGGTCACCATGACATCTCCTGTACTTTCTAATGACACATCTTGTCCGATCAACTGAGACACGAGTCGCCAGGGGTCCATTCTTATTCGGGACAAAGAAGGCCGAGGCCTTGGTACCACGTCGCCAGATTTTGGTCTCTCAGGCGTTGGATCCCTTTTTGGGGTTCTTCGTCTTGCAGACATTGGATAAATGGTTCTGGGATCTGGAAGACGTGGGAACTGTAATGACTCTCTATGAGGACTGGAGTCAGAAACTCCATTGGCTAAACAGAAATAAAGAGAAAATAATGGTTTCACAATCATCTGAAATAATGAGTCCGCCTCCAAATAAGTGTCAATCATATAGTACAATTCAACAAGCTGATTTTTGTCAGGTACTTAACATGGAGAGTAAAATACCTCAAAAATGACAATCACACTGCCCAATAAACAGAACAAATTTGGAAATTCAGAGCCCAATCAAGATAGCATTTTACAGCACAGAAGCACACCCTTTTCCCCCCACCAAGTAATGCAGTAGATATTTGTAGCTCACGACCCCTTTGTGAACCATGTGCTGCTTGTTTATATTTCTTGGCCTTCGTTCATTGTCTTTCTTCAATGGTGGCTGCGGACTTATTCAATGCTATTCCCTTCCTTTTGCATGCTCTCCAGCAATGAAGGCAAGGGTGTGTGTCCTAATATTTAATCAAAAGTTCCACTCAAGTGCTCTACTGAAGTACAATGCCTTTACAGAATATCACTCCTACAGGGAGGTTTCTGTCTCTGAGCGAGAAATGTATGCTGGCCTCTGATTGTTAAGAAGCTGACAATTGGTGCAATTGAAATCAGTTCCATTTTGGGGAATTCAAAATGTAAATTGACATCCCCTCATTCATGGCACAGCCTTCCAGGTCAAAGGACTCTAAGAAAGACATGCAGTTGGAAATGTGGCCTTGGACAAGACAGAGAAAAAAAAAAAACTTACTGGCTGGACTTTCTTCTGATGATAGCTGGCCATGGCGGGTTACATTGGGGTTAGCAGCTCCCTTTGCTGGCATCGCACTGAATTCAGTCAGACACACAAAAACCGGTGCGTCCGAGTCCGACAAAGGAGATTCATCTAGATCCTTGTGTACTCCGTTCACAGAGCCATTTGGAGGATTGTCAGTCAAGAATTCTGGTCTATGGATGACAGTGTTCGGCATGCCAGGCATGTTATAAATGGATGTATCCTCACTGTCTGATCGGAGCAAGGACCTTGTGGAATTACATTTGGATATGGAAGACACTGACAAGAGATTAACAGCGTGGGAATTTAGTGAGGGAATGTTAGTCTCTTCCTTCCTGGAGACTGTCCTGTTGGGAGGACTTGTGCTTCTGCGGAACCTGCTGGTTCTCTGAAAGAGGCCCTCCTTTTTCTTCTTCTCCTCTTTGACCTCAAATTCCTCTGAAACCTGTGATTTATTCACTTCTCTGACATCAAATCCCAAGGCCACAGATGCAAGCAGCACAGCACACCCGTACAATACCATATCAGTTTTCTTCCTCTGTGTTAATCGCTTCAGGCTATTTGTGGGAGTGACCTGTGGGGTGCTGTTGGCTGAACTGACTGGTGTCACCTCCTCCTGACTTTCACTGCCACCATCTCCCTCTCCCTGATGATCTTTACGAAGAGGTAGATCAATATACACCTGGTTAGGTAATTTGGACTGCTTTGGTCGATTTTCATAGTCTTCAGCTGCTCGTGTCTGTTCAGAAGTGCTCCCTGTTGGGAAAACGATCAGATAGGTCACTACCTCAACCAGAACCCCTCATATTTGTATATTGCAGCTTTATAAGTCTTTGGTTAGACCACACAGAGTATTGTATTCAATTCTGGTCAACATATTACAGGAAGGATGTGGAGGCTCTGAAGAGGTTTACCAGGATATTCAGAGAGGGTATGAGCTATAAGGAGACATTAGAAAAACTCGGGTTGTTTTCTCTGGAGTGGCGGAGGCTGTCGGGAGATTTGATAAAAGTCGATAATATTATGAGATGCAGAGAAAGGGTTTGGCCCATGATTTCCCTCTACTATGTGGTCAAACGGTTTGGCTGGTTCTCACCAAAAGGTAGCACAGTAAAGAAACAGTGGCAGAAATTTCAGGAGGTATTCCATAAGATATGATAGATAAATACGTTCCATTGAAGGAAAATAGGCATTACGACAATGGACCATCTGTAAATAGGTCAGTGAGAGTATCAAATTGAAGAAAAATTCGTGCAATGCCGCAAAGATTGGAGTTAGGTCAAAAGATTGGACGAATTATTTTTTAAAAATGACAAATATTGAGGGAGAAAATAAAATGAGAGGATGTTGGCTACAAACATGAATACATTGAGTCTTTCCACAGGTATTTAAAAATATAAGTAAATTGAGTGTTGGTTCCTTAGAAGATGACAATGGCAAACTAAAAATGGGAGACAAGGAAATGCAGAAGTGTTGAACAGGTAGCTCATGTCTGCCCTCACCGTGGAAGACATAAAAAACATAAGAATACTTGACTTGCTCTCTGACATTCAAAGGTGTTACCATCAATGAATTCCCACTATCAACATCCTTGGGATTACCACTGACCAGAAACTCATCTGGACTCACCACATAAACAGTGGTTACAAGAGTAGGTCAGAGAATAGGAAAATTGTGGTGAATAACTCACCTTCTGAGTCCCCAAAGCTTATCCACCATCTAGTGTGATGGAATACTCCCGACTTACCTGGATGAGTGCAGCTTCAACAACTCTCAAGAATCTTGACACCATCCAGGACAAAGCAGCCCACATATTATTTAATTGGAAAAACATTGCAGAACTCAAGGTTACAGAGGGATCAGGTATATGAATCATAAAAGTTAGAATGTAGGTATAGCAAGTGCTTAGGAAGGTGAATGAAATATTGGCATTTATTGTAAGGGTTTACAGATTTTCAGTCTGTAAATGAATCAAGGGTTATGGGAAAAAGGCTGGAAAGTGGAGTTGAAGGGTATTAGATCAGCCATGATCTTATGAAATGGTCTATTTCTGCTTCTATGTTGTACGATCTTATGGGAGCAGAATATCAAAGTACAGAAGTGTTACTGCAGCTGTGCAGGCTCCTTACTAACTGCATCTGGAATTCTGGTATCTTTACTGATGAAAGAATATAATTGCCCCTTAAAAAATAGGGGTCTCCCACTAAATGATGGAGCAGGCTCAAAGTTTCAAATGGCCTACTCCTGCATCTAATCCAAGTGTTGACCCAAAAGGCTCCGATAAGAATAATGGCCATGTGAGGGAGACAGAGGGTTTTTACATTTGGACAATCATATAAATCACAATTAAGAGCAGAAGCCTGCAAACTTCTCCTCTAAAGCCTATAGTATCAACACCAAGTCTATCTCCTCCAACTGACAGATTACTAACTGTGATTTGAAACTGGTCCACAATTTTGCCATCTTTCTACATTGGTTTCATTCATAAAGTATCAGCTGTATGTGTCAGACATGGCTCAGTTCAGAGAATTTTCATCTCCGAGTTAAGGTTCAAATTGCACTATTGCACTCCGGGGCTTGACCACACAAGTTGAGGCCAACACTACAGTCCGGTACTGGAGGGAGTGCTGCACTGCCAAAGCTGCTCTCTTTCAGGTAACAGATTAGACCAATGCTCCATCTCCCTACTTGGGTGTATGTAAAAGATCCTATAGCATTATTTCAAAGAGGAGCAGAGGAACTATCCCAATGTGTCCTGGCCAATATTTATCTCTTAGCCAACATCACAGAAACTGATTATTTAGACACTGTCACATTGCTGTGAATGGGAATTTCTTGCATGCAAATTAGTTTTCAGGTTTGCTCCATGACACCAGCAACTACACTTCAAAGATAGTTGTAAAACATTTTGAGATGTCCACTGGTGATGAAATATTCAAGTCTTTATTTCCATTTACATTTATGAATCATGATTTTTCTTTACTGATTCCAAGCAGCTGGTTAAATTACTCATGGAATGTAAAATGTTTAATAACAAGTTTGGTAAAAATTCATACCATGGTCTGTAACATTTGCAAAAACTGAGGTTAGAGGTAAAGTTGGAGTCTTCAACAAACTTGTAGACCATGGGTTGTTTCCATCTGACAAAGGCCTTGTCCTAAAATTTAAAACAAAAATAATTCTGTACAATCTTATTTTTCATTATGTTCTATTTTCCACCCTCCCTTCCTCTACTTTCCCCACTACCCGCACACCATGCCATATACCACGAAAATGAAGGCAATATAGATCCAGAACTGGTCACACAGCCATGCTCATAAGAAATCCAGGCGGTGGGGTGGGAATAAATTGAAGCTCAGAGTCAGGGCCTATCACTTTCCTGCAGCATTCTAAAACAGACCAGCATGCAGCTGAGTTTGAAAAAAATGAGACATGAAATAAATCACAGTAAGGCCATGAGTTGATTTGTGAGTGAGTTTGTGGTGTCAAACTAAAATCACTATTTTGTGGTGCCCGTTCTAAAATATGGGCATGTTGGGCCAATATGGACTCAGGCATAATTGTCATGCCCTCCACAGTCAATCTGAGATATAAAGTTAGTCTTAAAACAGGGTGACCGTACGACCAATCGATCATTGTAAAAAAACCCATTTACTTCACTGCATCCTCTCAGGAACAAAATCTGGCATTCTTACCTGGTATGGCCTACATGCAACTCCAGTACCACAACAATATGGGTGAGTCTTAATTACCTTCAGAAATGGCCCAGCAAGCTACAAAGTTCATGGGCAATTAGGAATGGGCAACAAATGTTGGTCTTGCCAGTAACACTCACGTTCCATGAAAGAAAAAAAACTGCCAACACTCTCAGTATAGACATATGAATAATGACTGGCTACTAGAAGACTGCCATGGTAATTATCCCCCTCCCCAACCTTTCAGGACTTACCTTTCCTCACAACTGGCCCGCTCCTTTGTTTGCATAGAACTAGGTCCCCAAGTTCGCCCTTTCTTTTTGCAAGCTTTCTGCACTTCTTCATCATAATCTTCTTGTCGGTATATGGTGCTTTTACCCCAGGTTCTATTGCTTTCATCAAGGGTAACTGTACAAAGCGCAGTAAAAATTACATGTTTTACAAGTAATCCAAGAGTGTACAGAACATGGGAATTCACCCCTGCACGGTCACAGTATTTGTCAGCTGGATTTAAAATTAAATACAAAGCAAAAAGGCTCAATCAGGCAACACGGAAAGCAACAGATCATGAAAGCCTCAAAATCCGACCAGAAAAGACCCAGAAGTTAAAACATTTTACTGCAATGATTGCTAAATAGACCCAAGAGCAGAGAAGGAAGAGCCAAGTTGTAGCAGCAGACCAATGGCGACCGGAACAGAACCCGCTGATGAGGGGAATAATTGGATCAGTTTGTCAGTTAACAGATGTCTGACAACAGGCAGATTTAGTCATAAATGCACTGTTCAGTGGTGAATGCCCCAGAGTCAGGCTGCCAAAATATAAAAGCATTCACTTCAAAAGAAGTGGAGTCAAGGATGAAGAAAGGTCAGTTCATTTAACCGATTCATCTCATTAACTTTCAAAATGGTATCTAATTTTACTTTGACTAACCCCATTTTTTTTTGTTTCCATTAACTTGCTTGGTAGATCATTCCAAACCTTTATCACTCAAGAGGGCTGATATAAATACATTTATTAAAATAACCAAACCATGTGGAAGGAAATTGAGCAGACAGTGAGAAGAATTTAAGTGAACATTTTAATAATTAATATCGATGACATTTTGTTCCACTTTTTCACCTTGCGTGGATACCTATGCCTGAATTCAGTTTAGGACTGGACAATTGTCAATACCAACTTAGCATTAGATAGACAGCCACCACAGGGAGGCTGCTTGATGTTCCAAGGACTGGCTATGTTTTGAGGGTGGCAGGAGGAACCAGCGCTATCTAGTATCTTGACAGAACTGAGGGGAGGAAAGCTAAATTGTTTATTTCACCCTGAAAGTCAATTAGCTCACGACAAACTGACATGTTCAGACTGCATGAAGAAAAGGGAGGAGACGAGAGATTTTGGTTTTGTGCCAATAGAAATAGAGATTGAGACAGATATGAAAAATGGGCTGTTGAATCACCGTCACTCATTTGACACTAACAAGCAGGCAAAATGATCCCCACTGACTGAATGGCCAAACACTATTGAAAACATAACATGTCTGAAGGAACTGGTTTTAATGCTTGAAAAAGGACACCGCTGAACAGTGCAATATGGGATACAAAGATGTATTGCCTCCTGATGATTTAACACAAAAGCCTTGCCTTTTGTCTTAGCCCTACAGAAGGATTTGCTTGTATATTCACTTGCGATATCGACATCCTGTTGGTATACATATATACTGTTGCGGTGGCCGGTGGAATTGATTGCATCTGTTTTGGAGCTCACTGAGGAGAATAAACAAAATAGGGGAGGGTGGTGGAGTGGAAAAAGCTGTCTGTTTTAGGTTAAGCAGAATGTGAAGCTCATTATTTGCATGTAGATCTTTAAAAAAGAAAATTTAGAAAGGCAATTAACAATAATCACTTGTAACAGAAACAATACAGCACTGAGGGACATGGTGGCAAAGTGGTAATGCCATTGGATGATTAATCAAGAGGCCCAGGCTGATGTTCCTGTGTTCAAATTTCACCATAGTAGCTGGTGGAATTTAAATTCGACGCACAAAGCAGGAACATAAAACTAGCTGATGCTAAACTATGACCTTGATAACTATCATCCATTGTATAATGTCTTTTAGGGAAGGAAAACTACTATTTATATCCAATCTAGTCTACATGTCAATACAACAAAGAAATGCAGATGCTGAAGATCAGAAATAAAATCAAATTGCTGGAGAAACTCAAAACGCTAACTCTGCTTTCTCTCCACAAATATGCCAGACCTGCTGAGTTTGTCCAGTAATATTGTTTTTTGTTTCTGGTCTACATGTGCTTGGCTCTTAACTGCCCTCCAAAATGGCCTCGCAAGCCACTAAGTTCAACAGCATTTCTTGATAGGCAACAAATCCTGGCCTTGCTGGGCACTGTCCACAACCACAAAAGAATAAAGAAGAAATACACTGTTGTTGCAACTCGTTAATCTGTGGCAATTTTGTCCCTTTCTCTAAAAGTTCAAGTTCCGACCCTCAATTGCACAGGCATCAGCCATTCTCTGCTGCTTCTTCTAAATGTAGCATGCCTCTATGATGCATGATCCATGCACTGGCCATGGAACCCTAGTCCTATTCTCATCATAGGGGAGGTGGTGGCATACTGGTAGTGTCACTGGACGCGTGATCCAGACAGCCAGGCTAACGCTCTAGGGACAACAGCTGATGAAACTTCAGTTCATTGATTAATTGAAAGATAATCATGGTAATGGTGTTGTGAAACTAATCATCTACCAAATAAATTTGATTAAATTTTTTGAGGTGGTCACCAGGCGTGTAGATGAAGGTAGTGCAGTTGATGTAGTCTATATTGGTTTCAGCAAAGTTTTTGGCAAGGTCCCACATGGGATCCAAGGTAACCTGGCAAGTTGGATCCAAAATTATCTTAGTGGTAGGAGACAGAGGGTGGTGGTATAAGGCGGTTTGTGTGACTAGAGGCCAGTGTTCAGTGGCATACCACAGGGATCAGTGCTGGGTCTCCCATTGTTTGTGATATAAATGTAAAGTTGCCATAGTCTTACAAGACCATAGAACTGTTCTCTCATGAGAGACATGACTGTTAGTGGTTTAACCTAAGGGTCACACATCTCAAGTGAGCGGAGGGGTTGAGGAGGAGATTTTCTTTCCATGGTAATCTCAGCTGGTGCAGGAAATGAACTCTCACCTTGGCGTCACTCCACATTTCAAAATAGCCTTAAGGCCAACTGAGCTAACCAATACCTGGTTTGAGATATATATACACACGATAAAGAGGAGGAAGTCGGGAGATGATAAAGTAGGTGACCCTTCCTCAGACCTGAAATGTTAACTCTGTTTTCTCCTTCACAGATGCTGCCAGACCTGCTGAGCTTTTCCAGAAACTTTGTTTCTGTTCCACGCCTTTATCATTTGTGGCATAGATTACAAGAGCAGGGAGATTATGTTGGAGTTGTACATTACTCCAGCTGTGGCCACACCAATGTTCTGTGTCCAGAAGGGGGATGCTTAGCTCAGTTGGATGGATGGCTGGTTTGAGATACAAAATGATGCCAACAGTATGGGTTGAATTCCCATACCATCAAGGCCACCATCAAGTTCTCAACTCCTCAAAGTCTGAGGTGTGGTGACCTTCAGGTTAAACCACTGCTGGAGGGCTCTTGTAGTGCAAAAGTAGTGTCCCTGCCTCTGAGCCAGGACACCCATGTTCAAGTCCTATCTGCTCCAGAGGTGTGTAATAACATCTTTGAACAAGTTGAACAGAAAATGTCTAAATCATCATCATTCGTCCTTCTCTAATGAGAGAGCAACTCTATGGTCATTTGGGACCTTTTACAGTTTTGGTCACCGCACTATAGGAAGGAGGTGATAACACTGGAGGGGTCGCAAAGGAGATTCTCCAGGATGTTACTAAGAGAGGCTGGATAAGCTCAGGTTGTTTTCTTTAGAGCAAAGGCGGCTGAGGGGGACCTGAAAGAGGTGTATATAATTGTGAGGGGCATGGACAGGGGGATAGAAAACAGCTGATCTCTTTTGTTGAAGGTAAATAACAAGGGCGCATAATTTTAAGGTGAAAGGCAGGAAATCTAAAGGGGATGAGGAATTTGTTTTCCACCCAGAGAGTGGTGGGAATCTGCAATGTACCCCCTGGGTAGTTGAGGCAGGAAACTTCATGACCTTTAAAAAAAACACTTGTATGAGCACTTGAAATGTCATTCCATTGAAGGTTATGGGTCAAGTGCTGAAAAGTGGGACCAGTGTAGATTAAGAGCAGATTTGCCAGTGCAGACTCAATAGGCCAAAGGGCCTCTTCTCTTCTATGATCATGCCACAGATTTTCCAGAAGGGATACAAAGAACAGTACAGCACCGGCATAGGCCCTCTGGACCACCAAGCCTGTACTGACACATAACACCTTGATAAACTAAAATCCATTTGCCTTTATGCAGTTTGTATCCCTTCCCTGCCTATTCATGTATCTGTCAAGATGCCTCTTCAACATCACCATTGTATCTGCTTCTACCACCTCTCCTGCAGTGCACTTACCACCCTCTGTGTAAAAAAACTTGCCTCTCACATCTCCTTTAAACTTTCCCCCTTTTACCTTAAAAAGGTATATCCCCTAGTAAATAACACTTCAACCCTGGGAAAAAGAGTCTATCTGTCCATTATATCCATGCTTCTCACAGTTTTGTAAACTTTTGTCAGTTGCCCCTCAGTTTCCAAAGTTCAAGTGAAAACAAATCAAGTTTTTCCAATCACTTCTCAGTTAATACCCGATTAAACCAGAAGACATCCTGGTAAACCTTTCTCATATCCCCTCCAAAGCCTCCAAGTCCTTCTGGTAGTGTGGTGACCAGAACTGCATGCAATATTCCAAATGTGACCCAACTAAAGTCCTATACATTTGTAACATGACTTGCCAATTTTTATACTCTTATGCCCTGACTGATGAAGGGAGCATGGCATATGCCTTCTTGACCACCTTGTCCATGTGCATTGCCACTTTCAGAGAACAGTGGACCTGTACACCTAAATCCCTCTGTATATCAATGTTTCTAAGGGTAAGTAATGCCATTTACTGTATACTTCCCTTCTGTATTAGACGTTCCAAACTACATCACCTAGCATTTGTCCAGATTAAATTCCATCTGCGATTTCTCTGAAGTCTCCAGCCTGTCTGAAGACAGTCATACAGCGTGGAAACAGACTCTTCAGTCCAATTAGTCCACACCAACCATCTTCCAAAATTAAACTAGTCCCACCTGCCTGCTCCTGGCCCATATCCCTCAAAACCTTTCCTATTCATGTACTTATCCAAATATCTTTTAAAATGTTGTAACTGTACCCACAACCACCACTTCCTCACCACACGTGAACCACCCTCTGTGTAAAAAATTTGCCCATCTTTTTTAAAAATCTCTCTCTGCTCACCTTAAAAATGTGCTGCGTTGTCTTAAAATCCCCCATCCTAGCAAAAAGACAACTACCATTAATTCTATCTATACCCCTCATTATTTAATAAACTTCTATCAGGTCGCCTCTCAACCTCCTACGCTCTAGTGATAAAAGTCCCAGCCTTTCTCTATACCTCAAACCTTCTATACCCGGCAACATCCTGGTAAATCTCTTCTGAACCCTCTCCTTCCTCGAGCAGGGCGACCAGAACTGGACACAGTATTACAGAAGAGGCCTCACCAATGTTCTGTACCACCTCAACACGACTTCCCAACTCCTATACTCAAAAGGTCTTTTTAACCACCCTGTCTATTTGTGCCGCAAACTTCAAAGAACTATATACCTGCAACCCTCGGTACCCCTGTTCTACAACACTATCCAAGGCCTTACCATTAATTGTATAAGCCCTACCCTTGTTTGTTGTACCAAAATGCAATACCATTGACCCATTTGATCAAGATCCCTTTGTAATCTTAGAAAACCTTCTTTGCTGCCTACAATGCCACCAATTTTGGTGTCGTCCGCAAACTTACTAAATATGGGGTGGCACGGTGGCACAGTGGTTAGCACTGCTGCCTCACAGCACCAGGGACCTGGGCTCGATTCCACCCTTGGGCGACTGTCCGAGTGGAGTTTGCACATTCTCCCCGCGTCTGCGTGGGTTTCCTCCGGATGCTCCGGTTTCCTCCCACAGTCCAAATATGTGCAGGCTAGGTGGATTGGCCATGCTAAATTGCCCGTAGTGTTCAGGGATGTGGTGGGTTATAGGGGGATGGGTCTGGGTGGGATGCTCTGAGGTTCAGTGTGGACTTGTTGGGCCGAAGGGCCTCTTTCCACACTGTAGGGATTCTATGGTTCTATGCCTTCTACATTCTCATCCAAATCATTTATATAAATGACAAACAAAAGGGCCCAGAACCGATCCCTATGGAACACCACTGGTGACAGGCCTCCAGTCCGAAAAGCAACCCTCCACCATCACTCTGTCTCCTGCCGTTAAGCCAATTATGTATCTAATTGGCAAGCTGAACCTGACTCTCATATGTGACCCAATTTTATTAATTAGTCTACCATGTGGAACCTTGTCAAAGTCTTTATTGAAGTGCAAGTAAACAACATCTACTACTATCCTGCTGTATCGTCTGGCAATCCTCCTTGCTATCCGCAGCTCGCCCAACCTTTGTGTCATCTGCAAACTTACTAATCAGACTACCTACATTCTTTTCCAAATCATTTATCCATGTTACAAACAACAGGGGTCCCAGCACGGATTTCTGTGAACACCACTGGTCACAGATTTCCAGTCAGAAAAACACCCTCCCACTGCTACTCTACATCTTCTATGACTAAGCCAGTTCTGTATCCATTTTTTCAGAGATAGTAGGAACTGCAGATGCTGGAAAATCTGAGATAACAAGGTGTAGAGCTGGATGAACACAGCAGGCCAAGTGGTATCAGAGGAGCAGGAAAGCTGACGTTTCGGGCCTAGACCCTTCTCAA